GCTATTTTAATCATAATTAAAAGTTTTAATTAAAATTTATAACAAGTAAATTAAATTTTGCACAGTTAATGCATCGACTTGCGCATGGGAATGTTTTCAATTATACCTTAGTTCCACAAAGCCGGCATGCGGAATTATACTTGCGTATCTTTTTCAATAAAGTTAATGAAAAAATTAAACAATTCAGTTCCTGTGTTTGTTTCCCTTCTTCTACTGACATCGTGATGCGTTTGCAATGTTAGAAAAGTTCGAAAGCCTCTATCTCAATTAGTCCGGGGGTATTATGCCGCCTGGAAGTGAACAAACTCCAAGTTGAGATGTGACGCCATGAAATATACGAAAGTGCACGGTCCCTGGAGAGATTAAAACTTATCTTGTCGAGACGAAAGAAATGTTGGGAACATTGTTATCAACTCTTCAGAAGTCAAAGGAGTATCTGACAAAAGATTTTATTAAAAACGCGTGTTCTCTCTAAGAAAGTACGTCTTTAAATAATTTGAAGCGGAAAGATTGTATATTCACAGAAGAAACAGAGCATATATATAAAGGGATGGGAAATTCTATAAATTCATTATGAAAGCTCTGGTGCGTATTGCATAATCTAAAAAGGATAACAGAATGATAAATATTTTTATGAAAAATAAAACTCGCGATCACTAATAACGTTACATCCATTCGATGCGAAAGTCGTTCGTTATAAGATAAGCTGCAAGTCGCAGCTGTTACATCTGCATGACAGAATTTGTCATTGAACCACCATCACGAAAAAACTAACCAAATTGTTACGCAGAAATCGTTAAAATTAACGAGTAGATGATATCGTTAGTAACGTAAATTCCCTATTCCTTTGTCTACTATCGACTCGTGCATTTTTTTTCCCTCGATTTGCAAAGCTTGTGAAGTCGGGGACGCAATCCGCACCGATGTCACTACATTTCCAAACCGCCGCAAGTCATACTGGTTACAGCGTCAAAGCCATCGAGGGAAGAGTAATGCTCTTCCATATATACCTCATAAAAAGACGTACCCTCTCAAAAATATTATATAGAATATTTTTGCGAAAATCCGAATATTTCATCAAATCAAAAAGTCGTTTTACCAGACGCAATTATTGTTAAATTTATCATTTATTTTAAAAAGAAATTTACTCCAAAGAGAAATTTCGTTGGACATAATCTCTTTTTCTGTTTTAAATTTCGGTTTTTCTTGCGGTAACTACAGCTGGGATTTTGGGACAGTGTCCTCAATGATTGATTCGATTAAAATATAATGCGATTTTGATGTTGTGGCCGTATCGCGTCACCAATTGTTTCTCTTCAAACAAACCCCTAGGAATTCGATCGAACGAAATATTTTCCTAAAAACGCACCTCGCATTTCCACGCCCGGCTATCGTTCAATGCCATAAAAAAAAACGTATGGAGAGCAATCGAACGACAAAACGCGCCGAATTGACCGTTGAACTCTCGAACGGGAGAAACAAAGAGAAAACGAACACACGAGTCGTTACGTATATTTCGCAGAATTCATAAGCTCCGATATGCGCGAGACTCGCAAAAGTAGCTGAGGAAAGGCCGTGTCGTAGATTCTTTTTTGTTGCACGCAGGTGCAGCTTTTCTCAGCACCTACGGCCTACTTTCCGCGCCCGGGCACCGTCGAGAGAGCGACGCACGAGAACACGACGAGACGAGCGACGCACGGTGCGACGATCCGTCGATGCGACGAGCGACGTGCATCGCCGCGCTGTCATGTGGCAGCGCGCGGGCACCGCCGGCTGCTTGGGGTGTCAATGACGACAGCGGTTTGGCGAAAAACAAAGTTAGTTCTGGCACACGGTTCGCGCGCGGCCGCGCGCACACACAGGCACACGCACACCAGCACACGTTTTTTTCCGGATATAATTAAATTCGCCGCGACACGGAGAGCGGAAAAGCATGAAGGGACCCGTTTTCGCGGCCCGACGATTCTCTCGCGTGGCGCGCGGACCGTGGATTCGCGAGGATGGAAAAACAAATAACGCGGCGACGAAAATAGACCAATTAACGCGGAATCGACGGCAAAATTCAACGGCGAGCGTACTCCAGTCCATACTACCGAACATTTTGGATTAATGACTTATCGGAGCAGCGCGTTGCGTGCGCGTTGAACGCTGAAAACGAGGTCGCATTTCTGTTGTATCGGAAAAAATTATTTAGATCCCGTTTCATTAATGGGAGATACATTTTTATGATAAAACGGAAATAATTCATGCGCAATATACTTGTAGCGATTCGCGAAAGTATTTTAACGGTTTTATCCATTTTACATGGCGTGTGCCGCCAACGCTCGAATATTTTCGTAAGCTGTAGTACGATTGTTATATAGCTGTCAGAATAATTAAATAAATTTTTTTTCTCCCGGCGTTTAGCATGCATAAGCTAATTGAATTTAAGGGATTTATAAACGGCTTGGATTTAAAAAAATGATATTTTTCTTTCCACCCATCATACAGCCATAGCTATAGCGGATATTTCGTTATGCGTTTGGCCTATTTTCGTTTCAAATCAAATTTCAATTGTAAAGTCAAAGCGCGAGCATATTTATAAATGTTTCGAAACTGCGTCGTTACAAGGGGAAATAATTCGACGCGTCGAAGAAACAACGTGCGCGTTGTTGCTACAACAAAGCCACAATGAAATCGCAAGATACTCGAACATTATCGAACGCTGAGCATCGCGTTCGAAAAATTATTTTTAATTGGATCTGGTTAAAATCGTCCGATTACGTTGATACCGCGATACCGCGCTGTCGTCATAGTTTACCGGTTTATCGATTAAAAATTCAAAGTCCGTAGAATGTCTTGTCTTTTCTTCGCTGAGTTCAAGGTTCGAGGCCTTTTAACGCTGAACAAAGAAACTTCTTCTACGACGAAGTATAGAATTGTATTGGACGGATTCTATCAAGGTTCGGCGTAATGAGCACCAGTGAGGAAAGTCAATTTTCCTACGGCGTTACCTGTCGACGTCTTATTTACACAGCTGACGCCGTATAGCCTACCTTTTCTCCTTCTTTTTCGCTAGCCTCTGAAATAAAAGCTCTTCTGAAAACAAGTTCTCATTACCGCGCGCAGTTTACGGCCCTCTTACGGGCCGCGTTACGCTCCCTTTATGCCCTCAACGGGACCCTCTCGGTGTCAAGCTCTGTAACGAGATAAAGGCAAACAGAAAAAGAAGCCCGACTATATTCCTTCTACCGCTGTCGCCGCACCGCGCTGGCCGCCGGCAGATTGAACGGCGGGCGGCTGTCAGGAGGGAAAAAAATTGGTCGCGAAACGCCGCGAGCTGCGGCGCGCGATGTTTTATCTGCTCTGTATAAACATTTCTCTTTGAATAATTGAAAACCACCGTTTCTCAAATGTCACGCGAGGGGAGCGCGCGTGTTACGTCCATTTTATGGAATATATATGTCCTGCGCGCGGAGAATGGACAGACTCGCGCGCGCGGCGCAAAGTGACTAAATGATATGTCACGGCGAGGTCGAAATGCGAAATCAATGTATAACGAGTCCCGAGTGATGAAAGGGAGAGAAATCTAGTAGTATCATAATAGCTATCTCTTTTATCTTGTCGTTTTGCGCGAAAGGGTTATCACGCTCGCGTGCGCCGCTAATTAATGACGTCGGTTCGTCGCGTGCTTTTCCATTACGTTCGCGAGGTGATTCTCAATGCTTCGTCTGCTGAGAGATAACGTCGGGAAAATGAGACGACATTTGCGTCCCGCGACGTATATTCGCGTTCTAAAGCTGGAGAGGAGGCGAGAAGGAAGATCATAACGAAGTGGCGCAAGTTCCGTGATAATTTACACGCAATTGCGAAGAGATGAGCCGCCCCCGCTTCGCGCGCGAATTTGATTCGCCGTGAAGCTATTCGGCAATTAAATTGCGCGTAATCGTCACGTAACACCAGAAACAGCCAGATTTAGGCTTCTCGTCGTTTCCTGCAAACGTGTATCTCGAGATATAACGAGATATTAACCGAAACTCACACCACCTCGGAAAACACTTTAGTCGTTTAAGGAAACTTTGTTGTTTTGAAGTTCACATTTTAAATTGCGTAAGTTTTGAATTATTAATTTAATGACAAGTAAAGAATTTTAAGAGAAGCAAAAAAAAGAGAGGAAAAAGAGAGCAGCTTCGTAAATTACACATCGGCAGATGTTGTAAAAATATTTTTCGCGGTAGCTCCAAGTGCTCCAAGGTAGAGAAAGATCGTGATAACATTTATATAATCAGTATTATCTCTTATCGTTATTTCTTATCGCTCGATTACCTACCACAATATATAGGTGTATTCGTAAGTATATTTACTTCTGTACAATTGAAAGTAAGATAACATCGTAAGAAATTTGAAATTTATCTCAAAATGATATTTTAATATAAATTAATGATGAGTAAGATAATCATCATAAATTACACAACAAGTGTTTACAGCGCGTTTACTCGCATCGTTCGCACGATTTCGTTATCGAATCGCTCCGATAAATTTATATTTTCGCGTGTCACAAATTCATGTCATCACTTCGGAAACAATTGAATATACTTTGATCCTCTATATATAATTACGCTCGGCGAAAAAGTGATATTGGGGATTGGCTTCGCAATCTCCTCTTTCTATAGTAAGGAACAGCATTATATCCCGATTCCATTTCAGAAATCTCCACGCCACGGCTCTGATAAAGACCGAAATGTCGACCTCCAAAACTTCGCTGCAAAAAAGAAAAACTTCACGAGGTGCTATTACACCTAATGAAGTTTCATCCCCCCCTTCCCCGCGTTCTCATATGCTCTGCTAATTACAAAGCTAACGGAGTCACGGAAGCTCTCTCCGCGGGATAAATGGATTCGAGAAGCTCGCGCAAACTTCGTAATTAATCGATCCAAATCAAATTCAAGCGGAAAGCAAACCGGCGCGAGCGATGCGAGCAATCGTAATCCGAGAATGACTCTTCCCAAGTGGACGCTCACCGTCGAGTGCTTGTGAGATCCTCTCTCTTCGCGATGCCCTTTGTATTTGCACCGCGTACAAGCTGCGAGAACTCACTAGGGACACGGAAGATATTACGGGCTTAGCCGCAGCAACACTAGTTAGCCCTATTCCAAGGATAACCAGGTTTCCCTTCCTTTCCCGCAAGCTACCGAGCTACAGATCCGAGAACTGCTAATCCAGGAGTTAGTTAACAACTTGTCGGTCGGATGCAACTCGACCGGAGCCACGAGGGTTTCTGCCGAACGTCGACGGTCACACACTCGATCGTTGAGACGCGATCGCGACCGTGCAGTGCGCGTCGCTGCGAGACTTCCGGCGTGACCCGGGACGAGAGGGATGCAAGACGCGCGAGGGTGACTTCGCAGGGGATGACGAGCACGAGGCACGGGGTCGCGTGAACCGCGCGAGGTCGCGTGTGATGTCGGACTGAGAGAGCGTCGACGAGCTGCCCCCTTGCGAACCCAGTTGGCGAGGAGCGAGGAGGAGCGTCATCGTGCTCACCCGCTGCCGCGAGCATGCTCTCTGTGAGCGTGTGTGCGAGCCGCGACCATCGTCTCGCCGTCGTACGCCGTTTCTCCGACCGGCTGTCACTCGCTCGTAGACCTCTCTGTCTCTGTCGATCGGTATCGCATTTCGAGCCCTCGGTGGGTGGGTTCGCGCTCCCTTGTACCTCGGCCCATCTGTCCACCGACGCATCTCACACGGAGCGTTGTCGTCAATCATGCATGACAGGTCGAGAGAGAAGGGCCGAGTTAGGCTAACGGCATCGTTGTGTCCGTATGATATTAGATCGAAAAGGCTAATGCGATGATATGATCAAAGAGAAATCTGAAAAAGTGCAAAGGATACACAAAGGTATCACGGTTGCCGTTTCAGACTTTCAATTATCTCTTTGTTAAATTTTAAATCGAATCATCGTTCTCGAGAGCAAAGGTATTATTTTATTCAATTCTGCAATAAATATCTAAGCATGCATATATGGCTCTAATAAAAAAAAATATATGTACATATGGATGAATATATTTCTAATGAAAAAATCGGAAATACTTTTCTGATTTTTTTGATAAAGCTAAACTAAGCGAAATTTATGGTAGAACCAAAATATTCTAAAGATAGATATATCTCGATCAAATATAATATAGGAAGAATCTGCCACTTTTTGGCTAACGGCCAAATCGGACAATTGATGAAATATGATTTTATCAGTGCACATAATATTCGAGGAATTTGGGAAATGTGTTGCTAACGGAAGTAAAAATACACCATCGATGTTATGAGTTTAAGTTGCTACGATTAGCGTTATGATGAAATTGATTTATCCCCCATCTATACGGTAGAGACCGTAGAAAAAGGGGAGGGGAGAGAGAGAGAGAGAGAAAGAGAGAGAGAGAGAGAGAGAGAGAGTCCTGAGCCAGAATTCAGCGTGGCGCATTATTAGGTGAGATATAGGAAAAGCAGCCCTTCACCGAGGGCGGAAACGAGCCGGAGCGCAAGATGTAGTTCTCCAGAGAGTTTTCCGTCCCACGCGAGGCGCATTTTAGAGCTTCTTCGAGATGGGACGAAGTCCGCTCATCCCGCTACTTCGGAGGAGTACATAAAACAGTATCTCTCGCCCGGCAACGCTCTAATGTACCAGACCCCGGAGCGAAAACGAGTTTTCGCGATACGGAGATTCATCGTCCCACATCCACTTTCCACGGAGTTAGGGTCCACCAGTCGCGACGAAAGTTACCCAGATTAATATGTTGACTGCGCGAATTATATACTTACCTAGGATGCGGATTTGCGGATAGCGATATCTCGTAGCGAGGCACTACCCGGGGCGTGCAAAATTCAACTTCAACGGAATATGATGCGGTTCATAATTTATCGATTTTACGCATCCTTCGCGTCCGTTGCGAAAAGCTTACCGAGAATAAATATCTCTGGGCGAAACAATTTCGCGCTTGGGCGTGCATCGTATATACATAAGTGCACGATTTTGCAGCGACGACGGCGTGCCCACGCCAAACACGAGAGCTTATTGTTTCGTTAACCAGCGTTTACCAACTCGCGAGGTCACGACAACGCAGTACGATGACGACCCAATTGAAAGAGTGAATATAACGGCTGATTATAGAGATTGCATACAGATACGCTGATGTCGTAACTGACAATTAATAATTCACTGATTAGAGCGTGCAAAATTTAATCGCATATCAAACGAATCAATTTCATAGCATTTCAATTGCGTGAGTTTGGCTTTTCGAGAAACAAAGACGCATTTTCCTGACAAATACGAAACTCAATCCCACCCATCACTGGAAAAATATCGGGAAATATTGGGTGAAATTTGAAATATGTATGAGATTACGTTTGATGATATCATTTATTCGTCGACAAAAAAAAATCGAAGTGCAACCGCGAAGCTATCGATACACTCGGCGATAATCGCGCTTGTATATTTTTCTTCAAATAAACGTGATAATCCATGGAAAGAGTCTGATTTTATGAGATTAGAAAATTTAAGATGGCATAAAGATGAGTCATTGTCTATTTAATCAATTGGGTGAGTAGCAAACTCAAACTTGGCTTCGAATGTAAGCAGAACGTGCTGAAGAGAGAGTTCTAAAGGTTATATACGCCGACACGAAGAATTCATCAGTTTCACGGTGTGTACTGACATACACAAACTAAGAGCAGTTTATTTTAAGGATGAGACAAGTATTGCGAAACAGGTGTCTTCCAATGAAATGGCAAAGAGATCTTTGTCATTTCTAGTTAGGCAGCTAACAGCGACTGCAGTTATATACGTAGAATTCATTGATGGCAAATTGAATTAATCGAGAAACAATTTAAGTATCGTTGCCATTGATACCTCTCTTCGAAGAAACGGAATTTTTTTTTAACTATCAAACAATCGCATCTCAAAAACCACATATAAAAAGATAGAAGGAAAAAGATAACGGACATAAGGCAGGATTTAGCTAATAATAAGAAAATTTTGTAGATATCATTTTGATAAAAATAAAAATAAATATATAATGCATATCAAATTCTTTAAATAAATCTTTTCGTCTAATTTCGTGTTCATTCATCGAGTGAAACTAGAATGTGAATTCATTGGAGATCAAATAAGATAAATTAATTTAATTAATTAAGGATATTGTCAAAAGCAACACATTAAGTAAAAAGACGATATTATGTCCACCTACTATAAAGTAACAATTGCTTTGCAACACGGCTTGGTATAGATAGATAACAGATTTTATATCTTCTCCAAACTTTTGATAGATCGCAATGGAATGAAGCCGAATTTAATCGGACAGCGTGATCTTTTCGTTATCTTGAAATGGTGCGCGATAATCCGTAAGAAATGAAGATTGGCAAGCGCCAGAAATTAGTTCGATAAACGTTCACGTGGTGATCGGCTATAAAGTTTGGCAGCTTCCAAATCCACGTGAGCTCAAGATAGAGCTTCTCTCTCTCTCTCTCTCTCTCTCTCTCTCTCTCTCTCTCGCTCGCTCGCTCGCTCGCTCCCTCTCGGATCGATTCGACTGGCATGGTGCACTTCGTACGTCAGCATTTGGCTCGAGAAGATTTCGCGATGATGTCGCAATTATTAATCACCGAGATGAAATAATTTCGAACACCGGCAATTTATGCGAGAGATTACGGATGGAGCTCTGTATACGCGATAGCCCACATGACGTTATTCGCGCGGATATTAGCGATGATACTGATGATGACGCACAGAAACGGTCCATTTCCGTACCTTAACCCAATATCTGGGAAATAAAGCGACTGATGTCACATCATATAGCTCGAAGGCAAATAAAGAGGAATGGTATATCTATACGCGCATATACATATCCTCTTTCCTTTGAGGTTATATGTAAAAATGTTTCTCTAAGAGGACGTTTACACAATGTTATAGAAATATATCTCTTTAGTTTAAAGATACATTATGTTATATAAGTCTATGGTATCCTACATTAACGAGTCCATCCTTTCTCGTAATGAGACTCGCAAAAATGGTAAACTATCAACATTGTTATTTTCGTTATCATTACAGGTTACAAATACAGATGCATTGTCTCTCAATATTTGCGAGAAACAGTAAATACTAAATAGTCATTTTTAATATTCATATCATGATCTTCCTTTCACACGATCGCATCCTTCACTACAACGTGCATCGAGCGCAACACCTGCACTTTACGGTGTGTCGTTTCCGCGCGTGAATTTTATGCGTGCACTGTGTACGATAAATTTTTGAAGCGAAGCACCGCGTTGTAAAATTTGAACACCGCGCTGGGACAACGCGAGCTCGTAAAATTTTCGCGCGTCACATTACGAAGAATCTATGTAGCCCGTATATAATCACCACGTAAATGCGATAAAGTATATTTCTTTCCACTTTAACTGCTTAGATAAATCGTTTTTTGCGCAGAAAAAAAAACAGTGAAAATAAGTGAAGTAGCAATAGATATAAGTAGCAATAGATATAAGTAATCCATATAATCAATTTGTTATCGCTACAGCTGTCGATATATAGATATTAAATATGTATTAAATAAACACAACGTATTGACGAAGTTTTTGAATGTGTGCCATAAAATTATCGATTGATACAAAAGAATTTGTGTTAAAAAAAAATTTCACTGTCAATTAAAAAATGTCAATATAAACTCTATTTTGCAATTAGTAATATTGTGGTACTCATTTACTCAAATCCACCGGAGTAGAATAACTTGTGGGATTTCATGAACTTTCCGTGTTTCTAGTGATAAATGTTACCTCGTAGCTACTCTACTCCAACGTGAAGCGCTCTGCATACGACTTGAATTATGAACACGCAATTCGCAACTTGCAACGATCACAAATGAAACCTTCCCTCGGGAAACCTTCCATTAAGAATCAAAAATGTTTTTTTTTTCGGCGAACTACACACAGATTTGATCATTTAGTACGGTAGATTTTTGGAATATTTCGCTACTGTACAATTCATTGAGTTGTAATTAGTTACAAGTGACGTACATCCATGTACGCAATGTACATGAATTGAAGGACCGAGCGTCAGAATAATAATATCAGCATGTGATTAGTATTCGGGATATATCGTTTCGGTAATATATCATTATAAATTGCATCAGAATGATGCTTCACTGTCGAAACCTCTAAATATTCATGAAAAAGAATTAATTAATTCTGCCATTCAGAAATATCTTTCATCTGAAAATACAATATTATGCAAACTTTCTCCGTGTAGATAATATTC